GACATCCTGACAAGTGAGTTTCAAATAACTCTATTCAGTGATCCAGAATTACCAAAGAGCGAATTTAGAAACTACTCAGTAAGGTTAGGATTGGTAAAGACTGATCTAGTAAGAGGCCATATACATTTCTGCTTCTTAATATGTAGCAAGAATTTTATATGAGGGCATTAACTGACATTACTGCAAGGTTATCAATTGCCCTCAATAAGGTCATTTGTGATCTTAAATTAAAATTTATGAGCACACAGCTATTTTTCATCTTTTCCCACCCTCTAAGTTAGTATTATAAAGAACACTGGATATTAGTGTATTTTGAAAATTTAGACTCAGGTTAAATTTCACCCCCCAGTTCTGCTTCACTTGTTCTCACTTAGCCACTTGACCTCTGAACACCAGTTTTCCATTTGGTAAATCTGAGGATTTTGTAGCCTAAGAGAGTCTAAGAATAAAACACAGAACAAAGGTCTAACCTGGTAAAGATTATGAGACTTTTAGATGAGAAAAACGCACCAAATAACATGATTCCTTAAGGATCTCAGAAATAGCTGCTCACATGTCTAATTTAGGATCACTAAGAAAACAGAGGTGATTCATGTATTTCTCAACTCTTTTTTCTGCTTCCACTTTGAAAACTTTGATATTTTAAAGAAGGTAAGGACTGATTTGAAAGTAATTTTTTAAAACAAGCTAACACACATGAAATTATAAAGTAACATTAAGTCTCAGGACTGATGAGGTGGCCTTGGCTGAAATAGGAGCCTCTATGTTTGAAACCCTCATGCAGTGAGATCAAACAGGAACAGGACTGGTCTGGTGCAGCCTCACCTGGATTTGGCTCTTGCTGCTCCATGTGTGCTTTACTTAAGAACAATTCAGTCTTTGTGAAAAAACACTGATGTCAGACTACTAGGTGATTTTCTTATTGGGGCCACAAATCCAGACCGCACTTCTCAGGGTAAAAGAGGGGGCCTCTTCAGAAGAGAAGAAATGTTTTCACTGTCAGTTTCCCAGGGGAAACGTCAGCTCTCCAGTGGGAAATAAGGAGCGTTTCAGACTGGATTGAAAGGAAATCTTCCTCATTTTTCTTAGAGTAGATATTAATTTGGTTCAGACTCTAAAGATGTGGTGGTACCCAGAATGCTTCTAGTGGGGGTGGGGAAGGTTCTGCTACTTCTGGCATCTTGGAAACAAGTGACAAAAAGACAGCTTGGTGAGAAGAGAATCCCAACGGATCTGGGTAGCTCTCATAAATTATTCTGTGGAATTTTCATTCTGTTTTTCTGGAACATCCATGAAGTCTGGTCTCTGTTGTGCTCTGCTAGTAAGAGAAGATGAGTCCCTCCCAAAAGGCCACATCCAAGTCACAGTGCCCAGTGGACAACTATATCCCAGGAGGCAACAGCAAAACACAGGAGAATCCTCAGCCTCGCTTTTCAAAAAGTAGGAAAATACTTGTGATTTTGTTTCCAAGAGCTAGCCTCTGCCACAAGGAGTATCATTCAAAACCTCAAGTAGCACTTTTGCTGGACAAGATGACATCAACTTGGGGTTAAAAATAATAAGGCAAAAATCTTAGTAGTTTTCAACTATTTAAAAATGTACCCAGATTTTCACTGGGTAGGTTCTAGAAGGAAACATTTCCAAAGGGAAGAGGGAATTCTAGGGTTATGCTGGCATGTATTTTTTGAGTCCTGTCTCTTCCTTCCTCTTTCAGTTAATTCTAAGAAAGTTTCTTGAGCTGGTGAGAATTAAACTTCTCAAAAGATATGTAATTCTTTAAAAAGTCTTCAAAACATCTGCTGATAGAAAATGGGGGCAATTAAACATCCTGAGTTAAAAAATTGCTGCCAATGAAAAGAAAAGAAAATATATGGGACAAGAGAAAAAAAGGACAGGGGAATTCAGAGACAGAAATTCTAAGGAAAAAAGTGAGGGGAAATTCAACAAGGCAAGTAGGTGTGTAGAAATTATTTTTTTATAAACAATCATTCTATGCCCCACTATTCTAAACACATTCTGTCACCTCATCAAGTACAAATACTTATTATATAAACCTAATTATATGAAAAAGCAATAGTTTCAATATTTTAATTAAAGAAAAACCCAACTATTAAAATAATCATAGCTTTCTACTCCCATTTCTCTCTCTCACACACACATACACACACAAGTGAACTGTACAAATACAGAAAGATAGCATTGTACGGATCTAAAGGAGCCCTGGCTGGTGTGGCTCAGTGGATTGAGTGCTGGCTTGCAAACCAAAGGGGTCACTGGTTCAGTTCCCAGTCAGGGCACATGCCTGGGTTGCAGGCCAGGTCTTGGGCAGGTGGTGTTCGAGAGGCAACCCCACACTGATGCTTCTCTCCCCCTTCCCCCTCTCAATATAAATAAATAAAAAGCTTTTTAAAAAAGTAAGAAAAATAATCTTTTAAAAAGTCCAAAGGAAAAGTTGAATCATTGCTTCTCTTTTAAACTACTTTCTGGATTTTTATCACCATTCCTCTACAAAAACAACATTAATGGAAAGTGAAATTCAACCTAAATGCTACCAGGTGTCTAATTCCAGTGTTACAGGTGTAGGAGGAAGAAAGACAATGCAGTTTAGAGTAAGTTCCATGAAAAAAATTATTTGAAGCTGACAAGTCAGAATGTGATTAGTTGTTAAGACTAAGACATTTTACTCAAATTAGCTCTATACTGGCACATCGTCAAGCAATTCTACAGACTGGAAGTACTGTGAATCTTCCATCAGACATTCAAAAAAACCCCAAACAGCTTACATCCTAGAACTGAATCTCATTTAAAAAAAGAAAAAGACAATGAGTCTTTTATTCTTTCCATTATTGCAAAGTAAGCAGCTGTATTCAACTGCACTGTACAGACACAAAGCATGAGAGAGTACGCAAATGCCCTGGACACATTTTCAGTCCTCGAAAAAAGAAGTATCAATAACAGAATACAAAGAACACTAGCACAACCAACTGGTGCTTCTTTCAGCAGAAGAAATGATTCAACAAAATGATAATTGAGAACTTGTTAACTTAAAAATAAAAGGTCAAAGTGAGAGGCAACAAGTGAGATAAAAAAGAATACCTATTTGGGAAGCACTAATACAGGCAGAAACCCACATAGTGTTCTGATTGGGGTGAAGGCAAGTTTTTTGTTGTTGTTTTCTCTTGATTTTATGAAAAAGGGAAGGGAAATAACTACACAAGTAGAAGGAATTTCTATAGGTGCAAATATACTCAGTTATTCTGTAACTATACATGGTGGCGCTAATTCTGAAGTATGTCTTTCATTTTCAGTCCATGATCAGGATGTTTGCTTTCCTGTTAGCTTGGCAAACAGTTGTTTGAACTACAATGTTCGTTTGCCCCGGTCCACATTCAAACATTCCTAAAGTTTGAGTAGTAAGACATACAAGGCAGTTCCTCTGGAATGGCTACCCTAGATCGATTTTTAAATGGCTCCATTCATGTCAACTTTTCACAAACTACAGTAAAGTTGTAGGCAGCAATACTAAATTCATTTATTAGTAACAAATCAAACTCATGGCAAAACAAAGTTATTTCTATGTGTTACTAATACCGATGGATTTATCTGGAGGTTGTCAATGTTGCTGAACTTTAGTTGTTAAATGTTCATTAGGTCTTAAACACGTAAGGAATTTCTATTTGGACAACCTACCTTGTCAGCATTATTAGATCTGATGTAAAATATGTTTGTGATAGAGCCCTTCCCTCTAGCAAGAATCTTATTATCATTTCTAGTACTATTCCTTAGGAAAACTTGAAATGGGTAGTGAATCTCTGTGTATTTAGATAAATAAATCTTTTCTCTAATGACTTATCAACTAGCAGTACAATTAAATACAACTAAATGGAAAATCCCTTACCTTTTCTAAGGCTGTTTAATCCAAATGACCGTGTGTGTGTATACATACATAATGTGTACATATGCACTAAGAAGGACCATACCGGGTAAGTTACTGAAAATTGGGGCAAACAGGCTAGACTCAAAGGCCTTATGAACATTTGTAATCATTTGCTTAGGAAGAGGTATGCCAATTTTTATTCATAAATATGTTAAAAGTCCCAGACTAATCTAATATCAACAGACCTCAGTTTTTGGCCTATTGATTTCATTTCAGTGAGCCTTCACATGTGCCCAAAGCATGATTAAGCAAAGGTGGAAACACTGTTTTTTTTACATTGTGAGAGCAAAGAACTTCATAGATATAAACACCTTTTGAAGTATATGAAAGGTCTGTCATTCAGGTCTCAGCTCAAACATTACCTCCTCGGAGGTCTGAATGACACTCCCTCAACCAGAAATTTGCTTTATCGTATCACTTTTATTTTCCTAACAATACTCTGAAATATCTTGTTCATTCATCTATTAAACTTGTTTTATTGTCTAGCCATAGAATTAAGGCTTTAAAAGGAATCCTGTATGTCTTGCTTACCACTGTATTTCTAGTAGATGCCAGCACAATTATTTAAATATATAATTATTTGAATACATAATTAGTTGAATAAATTATTTTCTCAGCATATATGACAAATCAAAATATAGCAAGAAATAGCAAAGCAATCTTTCTTTCTCCCTCTTTCTACACACACACTCCCCCGCACACACACACCTAGACTACAGAGAAGGTGTTTATAATTTTTTTAAGGTATATTATTCAAGATCTAAGGTAGGATATTTTGTTGCTTTAAAATACACACACACACACACACCCACCCACCCACACACACACACACACAGAGCAGTAAAATTACTTAAGCCAATTCAAAGTGAAAAACTTTGACAGGACAATTTAAATTAATATTTTTAGTAAAATAACCACCCCCAAACTACCCATAAGACAATGTTTCTCCCACAACTTTTATATAAGTTAAAAATAATCAGATAAAGCAGCTTTAAACATGGTAATTTATTTTACGCAACTGTTTAAATCCATTGTTTAAAAATGTTCAAAAGGCACTTGAAAAAACATATTTAAAAATACATTTTTCTGACTTATCGGTGATCACTTAAAGTAAGCAAGTCACCAGAGCTTTTTAAACCATTCATGATACTATTACTTACATAACTTTTAAATTCCAGAACACAAATATTCACTATGTAATATAGCACACTGCTTAGCAGTAAGATTAGTTTCCCTTTAATATACTTTATTAATTTGCAGGACTCTGAAGTTATTTAAACTTAACTGATATAAACCGAAAAGTAGAGAGGGAAAGGAGTTGAAACAGAACATCAGTTTTAGGTTGATTCCTCTTTAGAGAATTTGTAAAATTTCTTATTCTAATCCTTATTAAAGTTTCTATTTCAACCAAAGTAGTTGTTAAATCAATAGTCATGTTTAGCATAAATTAAACCACAGGTTGCCCCCTAGATTTATTATGTTTTTATCAGGCCTACTCTGAAGAAGTAGCGAAATCAGGCAGATGAGGGTTGTTTGTTTTTGAGAAAAGTGGGTGTTGGTAGAATCCAAGTAACTTTGTTTCATTTAATAATTACTTATCTAAAATTAGTTTAAAATTGTAGACTTTTAAATAGGGCAAATATCCTGAAAGCCAGCAGGCATTATTCTTAAGACAGGTTTTTTTTTTTATTTCTAAACTCATAGGGAAACAAAGTTAATAGCTATACAAAATTATCAGTAAGTGATACAAATGCTAATAAGAGCCAAATTAACTTTGTGACTGCACTAAGAGTAGTTAGAAAATGGAAATTACTTAAAAGGAAATTTAAAGAGGGTAATAAATACAAAGAAGCAGAAATTGTCAAAGACATACTCCTCTAAATAATCAGAAAATTTAAATGGAGAATAAAATCACAGACTTGATCTAATTAATCAAGTGAGGGATTTTTCAAGCCTCAATCTGATAATATAGTTTTCTAGGCTCAAAGACGTAAAAAATTAATACTCAAAATAAATTATGAAAATAATCAGCAAATTTAATGCCCAAATCCTATTACCATATTTCAAAAAATATTGAAAAGTGGTCATTTATTTTTGAATCTTCTTAAAGTAACAAAATTCCTCTGAAATCTAAGGTATATGAAAACAAATAAATGAACTCCAGGACAACAATCTGTTTTGTATCATCTATGAGCTTTCCAACTGAAAATACAAGCATACTGTTAGGGAGAATGTAAGACAGCAAAAGTGTTATGTTTTGAGACCACATTAAAATCATTTATCCAAATAACAGAGATCTTAATTTAAAAGTCAGTATCATCATGAAATCTGGTTTTATGTGCTCCATCAAATACTTGAATTTTTTTTCTTTATTAGATCACATAGGACAGTCGATTCTCGAAAGTGATGCAATTTTGATAGTATGAATTAGTAAAAAAAAATCCTGCATATTATAAAATATTTTGCTATCTCTAAAGTTTTTTTTTTTTAATTAACAATTGTGGACATTTCTAATGACATTCATTTACGTATGCTTTTAATGAATTAGTATGTATTTACTTAATGAACCCTTCCTGCTCCCACGTGAAATTACTAAACTTGAAGAATTACAGATTTTACTGTGCAGGCCCTGCTATTAGCCACTCTAAAAAAGCTAAAGAATTTTGCCAAAATAAATGATCCACTGACCCTTCAAATCATCTTTAAAGTCTTTACATTTAATATAGTGTAATCTTGGACTATACAATTTAAAACATGCATGTTTTAAAGAGGTATCTTTGAAAGATACCTCACTTATGCAGCAGTGATTCTTAGCATGTCTGAAGATCATCTGCATCAGAATCACTTAGGTCTTAGTGTAAAAAGGTTCTCAAACTGACGTGAATGAGCCTCACCTGGAGGGATTGTTTAAACATAACTGATAGCTTCCAGCCCTACAGTTTCTGATTCAGCAGGTCTCAGATGGGGCCCGGGAGAGATGGCATCTCCAACCAGTTACCAAGTGATACGAATATTGCTTGTTCAGACCACACTTTGAGAACCACAGCCCAAGGGTATCTAGAATTTCTGGGCTTGGGGCCTTGAAATCTGCGTTTTCAACAAGCTCCCAGCGGCAACAGTATAAAAACCATAATTTGACCAGCATTATGCAAATCTGGTTAATTTTACTATCACTGGCCAACATATAAGATGTCACATGTCAGTAAGTAAAAAATGGAAATAATGCTAAACGACTAACCTCTAGGCTGACATGGTACAAAGAACACACAGGCTTTGAGTAGAAATCTCATTAATAGCTTTGTGACAATGGAAAAGTTACTTTAATTCTGAGCCTCTGTTTTCTCACCTATAATATAGAAATAACACCCAATTTGTGAGGATTTAACACCAATGTACATAGAGTATTTAAGCACAGTACTTCACATACAGTATGCATCAGATAAAAACTCTTACTTATATGAAATGTACAAAATATTTCCTTCAACATCTGATTAGATTTTTCATTCATTTGAAACAAATATTTACACTCCAAGTTAACAATAAAACCTCATACTTATTGCTCCATACTCTGGGCCCGCGTTCTAAAAGCCATACACATACTCACTCATTTGATCCTCATAAAATTCCTGTGAGGTAGGTAATATTATTGTCCCTAATTTACAGATGAGGAAATTGAGGCACAGAGAGATTAAAAATTGTTCATGGTTACAAAACTAGTAAGTGATGAAGAAAGAATTTAAACCCAGAGAGTCTTGACTCAGACTCCAGGATTTTTCACAAGCTAATTTCCTATGAGTAAACTCTAATGTTTTGGGATGTTTATGATAAACTATTTATACTTGTAGCACAAAAAAGTACAATAGCAAATATGGACTCAAATAAATTCATACCCACACCAAGGCGAAGAGCCATTCAAAGAATAGAACGAATGCCTTGAAATTTTGGCAGACGAAACCACCATGAACGCTATGAAAAACAATTTAATAGGTAAAAATTGGTGTAAGTTTCAACTACATGGGCAGAGTATCCATAACTGGCCATTAATATCAACATCCTCTCAAATATACCATCCAAAGAGGTCATGGTTTTGAAATGTTTGGCACAATAAACTATTTAGTTAAGCAGCAGGGTCAATGGTGTGACAACCATGTAAAATTAACACAATGATAAACAAAAGAGAAATGTAAATCATTTGTAACATGTAACATATTACAGAAAGTCTGTAAAATAGTTATGATACACTCAGATAATATTGCTAAAGATAACAAAAACGAAATTTTTTTTTCCTTCCAGAAACTCTTTAGAGAGTCACTATAATTAGAATAAAACATTCATGAGTATGTTTTTTATGAGTCTTGAATGGGTTTTCTACTCAATTGAAATTTTCTATGCATCGGCAAAACAATCATCCCAAAATAGAAGGTGCTGCAAAAGTAGGTTTATAATTGCAAGTATGCAAAACAGCATTTATTCTTATTATTTATTATTGTATTATTTTCCATATAAACTATATATAACTCTACTTTTGCCCCACCCTGTATATGTAAGCCAACATCAAAATTCAGATGCTATTCATAAATTAAGTATTTGGTCTTTTAATATCTGACATATCTCAATTTGTTTAAGCACTTTGCGTTTTCTAATTTTTTTAATTAACTCTGGTCAAAATCCTACATTTAAATTATTTTGCCAATGTAGCTAATAACCACTTCAGATCCTAAAAATGAATTCAAAACTGCTTTAAACAAATTATGAAAGGCACAAACAAGTTCTCATCTCACAACAGGGTAAGAGTGAAAGGAACTGTAATTATGTAGTTGGAAAGTGTTTTAAATAATCAATTAAAAATGTCTTAGTAATTCCTGAGAGTGGCCCTGATATAAGAAAAGCATTTCCCCCAAAGCATTCAACTGACTATTTGTTACCCATAATTAACAATGGGTAAACATGGGAACAAAATATTTAAAAATCCATGTTTACTGAATGTTATTAATGCTTTGAGTAAATAAATGTTAATAGCTGAAAATGGTATTCAAGAATGGTTAAACATACTTAGAAGAGATGGCAGGGACTCACTATAGGCATAGCTTAGAAATACTGCAGGTTCTGTTTCAGACCACAGGAATAAAGCAAGTCTCGCAATAAAGTGAGTCGTAATCTTTTTGCTTGTGGAGGGTCTTGCCTTCAATTCGGTTTAAAAACTACACCTATGAAGCGCGATAAAGCAAAGTGCAATAAAACGAGGTATGCCTGTAAAACATTAACTATTAATTAGAACCAAGTATGTATATATTACAGTCAAGGCCCATGATCATTTCAAAATGTGGTTTTATTAATGCACGTTAAGACAAGTGCATTCTTACTCTACCTACTTCTGAAAGAAATACTGCCAATTTTTAACAGTCACAGCAAAATTTTGATCAGCCAAAACTGCACACTGGTGTGTGTGTGGGGGGTAGATGGTGGAGAGTTTGGTTCATTTATATTACACTGCAAATACAAACTCATGTCTTGAGTTTACAAACAACACTAAACAGCAATACTTCCTTCTAAAATTTTAAGGCAGGTCTGTTTAATATGATGTGTGTTACTAATATGGTGCAGTGTCATTTCAACAAATTTAACTCTCTTAGCTTCCCAGTGAAAATAATACATGTGGTCAGGAACAGGCCATAAAACCTCTTTTCTAGTCCCTCTGTCTGGCCAACATTATAAAAACACAAGTTTTTCATACATATATATATATATATATTACTGTATCAAAACACATTTTAACAGACTTCACAGCTCATTAAAGCTTCAGTTTGCAGTCTATTATGAAAGATTCCTAATTAGGAATGTTCACTTAGAATTCTTCACTGGGAGTTCAGTGTTCTCTGTAAGAAATGCAGAAGTTCTTCAGTGCAATACTAGACATTTTACCTCTGTTCATTTATGTTTTCTTTCAAGGTTTCCCAATTTTACTTTCGGATCTTCATTTTTGTATGCTTGACTTATTTCCTTTAGTATATTCTCAGGTAAGGCAGGTTGATATCTGTATAAATATCCATATGGACGTAGATGATAAACGAGGTATTCTAATTCATACATAGTTGTAGGATCAACATAGTGAAAAGAAACTGCAAGATCAGAACAGCAACCAGGACCCTAAAAAGTAGTGGAAACAGGCATTATTAAAAAGTAGCACATTGTTAAAATACAATATGCACATAGTAATAAAGGAAACACTAATTTTTACAGAATCCAGCAATTAAAGCTGGCAAGATTTTAAAGAGGCACCTAATTTTTTAGACATGTGTAAGAGGTTATAGAGTTCCTAATGATTTAAACCCAAACATGAAATTGCTAAGTATTTCTAACTAATATTCTTTCATATTCCATAGTGTTTTAGCAGGAAAACATCTTGAGACTTTAAGTGAAAGGGACAGCTATACAAAGGATAAAGCTCTATTTCTTTGAATTTTGCTTTCTCTTTGTAATTTTCTATGAATTTTTTGCTGGGCTCAGCCTCAGAAAGATACCTTTGGAGCATGCAATGACTAGAAAGCCTTGCCCATTAGGCATCTGAAACCTAATACTTTATCTACACATTAACCCAAACAGTATAGTATTTACGAGAGAAAGTTCTGATTCAAACCTAGGTTTGATTCAAATTTTGCCTACTAGTGTATGGCACTGGGCTAGTTATCGAATCTCTATAAACTTCAATTTCCCTATCTGCAAAAGGCAGTTAAAGGATATAATGTGTACAAAATGCCTAGAACTAAGCTTTACCTATTGTAAATGCTCAATAAATGTTAGCTACTATTGATAGAACAATCCCATTCAGGTGGCCCTCAGTAAGTAAGAGTTAAACCTTTGTTTACTTATGGAATTCTCATATATTCCTAATATAGTTGGTATAAGAACAAGTTTAAAACAAGACAAAAAAGAAAAAAAACAAGAAAGAAAAAGCATGAAAATAAAGAAAAAACACTGGTCACAGAGTTAAAAATAATCACAAGGTCAGTCTGGGGTCAGACTTGATATCTGGAGAATGTTTCATCCAGGTGACTCCAACAAAATTCAGATTCTATATAATGTGTTTGTTTGCAAGTACCCAGGCAGAAAGAGAATCTGACAAGTTCCTAAACAAGATTGAAATTGACCTATTAAATTGAACACTTAATAATTCCTATGTGGAAGTATGTAGCTTACAATGCAGTAAAAATTATTGAGAAATTTTTCATTATATTTTCTTTGGCCTGATTCTCAACTATTCCTTTGAAAAAAACATTGTGGTATCTTGGATAACTATGTGGGCACTGAAAAGTTATCTGGTCTCTACTTTTTATACCTTCAGGGAATATAGAAGAAACAAAAATAGTAAGGAACAAAGAAAAGTAAACATGTAAGTCAACTTGTGATTATCTAAATGAGTTCTGCCCAAAAGATATATGTAAATCACATAATGTAGTTTATTTTCTAGTAGCCACATTTAAAATGTAAAAATAGGTAAAATCAATTTGAAGGCATTATATTTAACTGAATACATACTTTTATTTTTTAAATATGTAATTATTACTTTAAAAATTATTGATGACCCCTGGCTGGTGTGGCTCAGTGGATTGACTGCCAGCCTGCAAACCAAAGGGTTGCCGGTTCGATTCACAGTCTAGGACACATGTCTGGGTTAGGGGGCCAGCTCCTCAGTACAGGTGCGCGAGAGGCAATCACACATTGATGTTTCTGTCCCTCTTTCTCCCTCCCTTCCCCTCTCTAAAAATAAGTAAAATCTTCAAAAAAAAAAATCAATGAAATCATTCTTGTTAGTTGTGTTAAAACCATGAAATCAGGTGTGAATTTTATACTTAAAGTATGTCTCAATTTGGCCTTGCCACATTTCAAGCGCTCAACAGTTAATGTGCTTAGTGGCTATTATACTGGCCAATGCATAGTAAACTAAAAAAATCCCTGGATAATAACAGTTAGTTTTAAACTGCTGATTCTCTGTGGAAGCAATTTTGAGTCTGAAATATTGTAATAATATTTTTATAAGATTTACTGTATTCATTGTTATGCCCTATTGTATTATTATTTTCTAATGGATGGCCAAAATACTATCATTAAGCATATAAGCAATAAAAGATAATAGAACAGTTATAGTTATTAAAAATAAAAGTCCTTTGCATATGATTACACTTACCTCAAAACTCAAAAGAGTCAAGTGAAAAATATCCATAATTAAGAATCCAAGAACAGAGCCAGATTTCAAAAATGTTTTAAAAAAAATAAAAGCTTTCATATATACCAATTAAGAAGTTTTAAGAAGCAGCCTAAGTGGAATAGTAACAAAAACATTAAATATCTAGGGAAATACTTAGAAAGAAATAAAGTTCTAAAGAAAACTATAAAACTTCACTAGGGGACCTAAAAGGGAACTTAAAAAATCCCGGGCAAAGATGTCCATTATTCCTAAATTAATAAATTTATACACAAGGATAAAGACATAAGAGCTGCCAGAACAATTTGAAGTGAAGTAAAAGGGAAATACACACTCCTAGATTAATAACTTAAATATGTTGTAAGGCCACAAGGTTAGAAACAATACGGTGCTCAGCTAAAACTAAATAGGACAGTAGAACAGAACTGAACTCCAGAAACCAAGCCTACTCTTAAGGATGCTATAGTGTATGATAAAGGAGGTATTTTAAATCAGTATGAAAGTAAAACTCATTAAATAATGGTATTGGAATAATTACCTAACAATTTTAAAAATTCAGGAGCTCTCTACCTAACCATATGCCAGTAAGTTTCAGATGAATTAATGTAAATAAAACTGAAGAAGAGAATAAATCATATTTGATTATTTCTGACCTATGAAAAGGCAATTTCACATGTAGAAGGATATGTGTTTATATATATAAATACACACATATATCTCTTTTAAATCCACTATATTATAGCCGCAAATTCTGGTGAAATTCTCTGCAAATTCCCAGAGAATAGACTTACTTATAGGGAGGTGAGCAGGTGGTATGAGAAGTATGAATAGTAAGTTCTGAAGAACCAACTTAAGAACATAACTCTCAGATCAACTAGAAGAACAGCAGTCCCCAACCTTTTGGACACCAGGGACCAGTTTTGTGGCAGACAGACAGTATTTCCATGGACCGGGGTAGGGAATGATGGTTTCAAGATGATTCAAACACATTACATTCAAGATCACCTCCTGTTGTGGACCTTGTTCCTAACAGACCTGGACTCTTACAGGTCTGTGGGCTGGAGTTTGGGGACCCTTGAACTAGAGTATCTTACTCCCTGACTATGTAAAAATTTTCTACACTGCATTTTTAGTGATTACTACAGAGAATAAATGTATGAAATTTAGGATGGCTTTAAAAACAGTAACTTAGGGAGAAGAAAGTTTGTTAAATGGATGAGTAATAATGGAAGTCTGATAAGAGAAAAGAGCCAACATTAGAAAGTTGGGTCAGTTTTGGTACTCCCAGGTCTATTTTATAGTCTTTAATGCAACCAAATAAATTTTTAGAGGGGGAAAAGAAACATAAACTTTGCTGTACATTTTAAAAACAACAGTTTAAATAAAAGATGCACTATAGAAATATTTATTTGTTCATATAAAGCATATTGTTAGGTTGGTGGGAATTCCCATCTACTTGTTGATGGGAATGATGGGCAGTATGCTTAAAGGATATTTTACTGGTTACAAAATAATGGTAATTATGATACTCCAATATCAGATAATTTTGGTGATGTTTCATGCCTTTAGGTGCATTTGTTACATTAATTTATAAAGTTTTTGGGTTTGGGTATATTTCTGTATGCAAAGGGATAAAAATTAAGAAGAGGTCAAGTAACCTTGGAATGGTCAGAATATACTAAGAAAAGTTTACATCAAAAAAGCACCCAAAGTAGCACCTCATTAAAACAAAACAAAAATAGACTATCAAAACACAGGCTTGGGGGGTGCATCTACTTTACAGTCTACAAAATTTTGCATCTACAACAGAAATAAAATGTAGCATAAGGTTTCAGACAGACTCATTACATAGAACTGATCTTTAAAGTTTATTTATGAAAGTGGAATTTTATCCTAACAACAGAATACTTATTCTAACATATCCTCCTATCCTCACCCTTTTGGGGTACATACCCATTAATCACAAAGGAGAACTCAGAATGAAAAGAGTTTTGAGAATCACGTGGTTTGCAATAATGCGTAAACTAGTTATCAAGAAAGGCAAGTCACTTTATTTTTCCGAACTTCAGTTTTGTCACCTATTAAATGCAGAATTACTGTAAGAATTAGGTATCATGTATGTATTAAGTACCAAGAACACACTATTCTGGTGGATGATAGCAGAGGTAGTAATGGTTTGCTTCAAAGTTTCCTTTAAAGCTGGTTACCTAAAGCTTGGGTCAGATGTTCTAGGTCAGGGTTTCTTAACATCAATGATGCTGACATTTAGGGCCAAATATTGTGATTCTTTGTTGTTGGGGGCTGTACTATGTGTTGTAGAATGTTCAGCATTTAGTGGGTTTACAATCTTGTGGGTTTCTACCACTAGATGCCAGTTCTAACCCCTTGGTTAACAACCCAAAATGCCTCCAGATTTGCTAAATGTCCTCTGGGTGGAAAAAACAAAAAAAAGTCCCTGGTTGAGAACGACTATTCTAGGTGATGATCTGAAAGTGCTGACTGGTGAAGAGTGGAATGATAGCTCGAAATACTTACTTGTATCTCAGGGCCAGAGGAAAAGGAGGCAAGAGTCCGAGTAACTTGCCTAAAGACATTATTAATGATAGGGTTGGTCAAAGAGTCCATATGGTTTTTTCCGTAAAATAAAAGACACTGTTCACTGTCACCAATAACTATTGATTTGGTTATTCTGAGTATGTCTGCTATCTCTCGCGTGGTATAAATTGATTGTTCTCAATGTCTCGATCTGACTGCTATCAACTTTAACTGGCCTACTGACCATGGAGCATCGTCCAGCAAGAAATCTCCAGCACAAACCTTTGCAAACCACTTTTGACATGTTTGATCAGTTACAGCACCTTTCCCATACACTGTACACATCTTTTTTTGCATTTCACTTGTCTTTATCCTTTTTGAAATAATAAAGCATAATATGACAAGAATGTTGTGTATTTTCTTCCATTTTCAATATTAAAGTGGCTACACAAAAATCCAGCAATTTTGATTTTTTTTTAAAATGCACACTGATACAACAGCTGCCACAATACAATCTAAAAAAATTCTTTCAAATGAAGTTAAAGACAACTAAGCGCTACTACAGCCATCTTATGGAAAAAACCAAATGAACTTTCTGGCCAACCCAACAATAACAGGACTGAGTTTAAAAGCTGAGTTTAAAAGCTGAGTTTCATGATTCTTGTTCTCCTTCATTCACTGCTGCAATACTTATAAGAGCAAAAAACTGGCAACAATCGTTTATCACTAGAAGAATGGATAAATTACAGTACATCCATATATCATATCAGCACTTTTCAACCTTTTTCATGTCATGGCACATATAAACTAATTACTAAAATTCTGCAGGACACCAAAAAATACATTTTTTTTTGCTGATCTGACAAGAAAACAGTTATAATTCTGATTCATGCACACTGGACGGCTACTATTGTGTTGGCTGTTCAGATTTTTTTATTTGACAATTTAAGGGAAAAGAGGTCAGTGCCCCTTAATAAAATAATCAGGTACTGAATGTTTTAAAAATTCTTGCAGCACTCCGGTTGAAAACCACCATATTAGATTATTACACAGCAGTTTAAAGTAATGAAGCAAATACATAGATTAATTGATAAATTTTACTGTGTGAAAAGGGCAAATGTACAAGGATACATATGGTTTAATTCCATTTATTTAAAAATCTGCAAAACAATACTCTATTACTTATGGATACATAAACACGTAGAAAAAATAAAAACAAGGATGGCAATGATAAATACTAAATTCATGACAGTGATTATTTGAAGAAGGAGGTAGGAAAACTGGATTGGGGAGGATACACAAGCCTCAACTATATCTATACCCTTTTATTTTAAATAACCTGATGCAAATATAGCAAAAAGATTAATATTTGGTAAAGCTGGTTTGTGGGTACAAGATATTATACTCTTCTCAAATATGTCTGTACATCTGGGAAATTTAATAAAATAATTCACTTTAGATAAAGTTTTCAGTAATATAAGTTAAAGGTGTCATACAAGAGCTAAGGCTTATTAGGTGCTTAGTGTATGGCAGGCACTGTACTACACCATAATTACAACTGGATAAGACAAGTAAATCATGTCCATTTTACAGATGAGGAAACTGATGCTAGGAAGTTAAATTCTGTCCATCCCAGGTCATTCAACTGTTAAGTGGGAGAGCAGGACTTGAATCTCAATGTCTTTTGATGCGTTGTTCCTTAATGACTCAAACTAGAGTATCCCACTTCGTTCTGAGTCACTCTCCAACCCCTTACCTGGCTTTTTTTTCCCCCAGGGAAGTTACCACAGACTAGAATCACATTATATCTTGATTAGTCTGTTTGTTTATTGTACATTTCCTCATCTAAAATGTAAGGTTCATGAGGAATGGAAGTTGGCTATATTCACTCCTGTCTAGTGCCTGGAATACAGCAGTACCAATGTTTGTTGAATGACTATTGCTGACACTCTTATTCTCATTTACTTTGTTATACTGTCACTCCGTAAAAAGACAAAAGGAGATTTTTAGTGGTTCTAAAGAAACAGACAGATATTAGCTAGTTTTTTTATTTTAAGTAAGCAAAAGTCAGCTGAGTATTTATACTGTAGTAAAATTTCTAAACTTACCTCTACAGGAGGATAATAGTTGTAATTCCAGTACCAAAATGTTTTAGGTAGATAACCCTTGATTAAGTGGTGTTCTGGTACAAAGGGATGAAAAGTTTCTTTTCCAGTGGTATCTCTGGAATCTCCCGCTTCTACATTTATAATTTCCATGCATCTCCCCAGTGCTAAATCTTCAATGGAGGAACTATGTGTACATTTCTCTGTTTTAAATGCATCCACAAATCTCTTCAAGGCTTCTTTGCTCAGTACATACCCTGCTCCTCCACTCATGTAGCCCTGCTTTACATAGGGCTTAAACCTTCTCCCAAAATAAATGGGTTCTTCAGGGTTGTGTTTTGACAGAAGCCATCTCAAATTGTCTAGTATAACATATGTATCATCATCTGCTTTCATAAACCAATCAGCATCTTCTAGATAGTGATCATGAACATACTGAAAAGCTTTAATTGTTTTCCAGTACAGCTGGTCTCTGCCTTCTCTGGTTTTTAATCCCACAGCAGGGAAGTCTTTATTTTCTTCTGAACTCATAAACAACACTTTATTACAGCGCTGGGCCCATGTAGCTTTGACATGCTTAGCCTTTTTCTCTAGATTTTGAGGCCCTGTCATAACCCAGCAAAGAATTTTAACTTTCTGATAGAGGTTTTCAGCAATGTCTGTGTTCTCATCTATTAAACAAAAAAAAATTTAAGTTATATTTACATATACGTAAAATCCGAACAAATTATGCTAAAGACATTTCCTTAGACAATTTCAAAGAACCACCCCCACCCCTGCTTCTATTAACCTAGCTACCATTAGTGATTTAATTTGAAAGAAAGCAAAATTCAGTCTAATATGAATGGACATTCCGATTTATTGGCTTCTTGTCAATCTTACCGAAGAGATCACAGGAGCTAACAAGAGTTGTCACTATGAATTAAATTCTTACTGTTCCTGTGGTTCACTGACCAAATAGCATCAGCAACACCTGGGAGTTTGTCAGAAATGTTGCACCTCTCAAGTCCCACCCCAGACCACCGAATCAGAATGTGCATTTTATCAAGTTCTCCTGGTGATTTGTGTGCAGTTTAAGCACTGCCTTAGAGTCTGCTTTTCACTTCATTCTACAAAGACAGCGCCAGCTGGTTCTTAACAAAATTTTTCATTGCTTGGAATAAACTCTTAAAGGCAGGAAAGGCATGTTGCTGAACTGGCAGTTCATTTTGAAGCCCACAAGAGTCCACTGGTATTAATTTCTACAAGTACTCTGAGGCGGCTTCAAAAGGCTTTCCTAACTACCCCAGTTTGAAGAAGAGGCATTAATGTACAGTTGAGATTACTTCTATTAGTAACATACCTCATTACAAAATGTAAATCCACCAGTCAGAAAAGAACAGATGAATAAGTAGACACAGTATTTCCAATATTGTCTAGAAGTATTTTTCAAAGTATGAGTTTGCAAAGAAATGTGAGGAGCTTATATCAGAATATAAAGCACCATATTAATTTTTTCATCGAGGAAAACTTGGGTTTCCCCTCCCCCCTCAAAAAATGTCCTTAAGCAGTGAGCTTAAATGATTTACATCCTGGTGCAAGCTCCTTATCTGGGTGCAGACAGGTAACAAACAGTTCACAGGCTGTCGTGCCAGGATCACATTTTGAGTAACACTGGTACAGAGGAAGAGTCCAACTATTAGATTCTAGATCAGTGCTTGGTGAGGACCAATTTTTACTTCCAGCAGTTAGAGATCTATACTTTCAACAACATGCTAAAAGTGAAATACTGAAAATTAAAAATTTAAAAAGAAATATAAAAAACAAGTCCCAATAAGTTTTTATATTTAGGTAAAATTACTGTCAAATTATCATAAAGTTTCTGTATAATTGTGATTTCAATACTTATTAAAGTCTGAAAAATCCATATTATGTGTGGTAATGCTCTAGGACGAATCCTCAGAAAGCATATCCTTAAAGTTTAGGTGAACCAGTGAGTTACAAAGGCTCAGTCCTATAAAAAATTAACAAAGACGTAAATTTCTAGTTAACTGATTGAGAGGGATGAGAAGGCAGGGTTGGGGCAGGGCATGAAAATAAACTCTTGCCGCTCTTGAGTATCAAGAACTCATAATCTAAAAACAGACAAAATCACCCTACTTCCAATCTGAGAGCATTCACAATTCTTATACTTTGGAGCCCAATTACTACTTATACAGACATATGAAATCATCATTCATTAATTACTTTGTAATAAGCATGTGCTAGCACAGGAGATAAAAAGATGAATTACACACATGTGCAAACCTACACCTGCCACATACTAAAGAGATAAGGAGATGCTATAATTTAGGAGGTATGTACAAAGGGTTTGATGTGCTGTGGCAAAAGAAAGCAGTGCAATGGGAACTTGGCTAGAAAAAAGAAGAAGGGGAGACAAAGCATACCAGCAAAAAATAAGAGGTGATACAAAAAACGGGTCTTTAAATGAGTAGATGTTCACCAGAAGAAAGGACAAAAGGCATGGTGAAGCTTAGTTGAATGCAGGTACATGAGTATACAGAAGATCTGAACTAGAGGAAATGCACTATGTATTGACAGAAATCTGAAAAATGGTAAAGCAGGTGAACTGTTAAGATTTAAGTCACAAATGAAATTGGTAAGCAAAGAAAAGCATCTACCATGACTTTGGTTTCTAGCATAGGCAGACGGTAATGAGCTATATAAAATAAGAAATAAAGGAGGTAGAGAAGTTTTAGGAGTAGGAAGGAAAAGAAAAGGAGTTCATTTGCACATGTTAAATCTGAGGGAAAAAGACAACTTTTAGCATACTCTTCATTTTGTGTATGTGCCTGCAGTAAGGCCAAGCTAGCACAGCCTACTAGTACTAGAGGAGCCTCAATCCAATTGATTATTTCAAGACTTGGGGCAATGCTACAGAGGAAGTGCATAGTGATCAAACTGCTTTACAATAAGAACACAGACCACCTGCTTGGAGTTAAATGAGTTATATAAACATTCACACAACATAAGATAATTTGTAGAAGTATGCATGTGCTTTTGACAGCTTACACTAGACCCTCTGCTTGAGAGGTGGGAAATAAGTCATTTACAGCCAGAAAGGTAAGAGAAACAACTCTTAATGGCGACCCTCTGAATCCTAGAACTCTGTTTTCAGACTGCTTGTATTTTCTGTCACATAAACCATAAAATTTGTAGAGATCTTTGGTATCTAGAATGGGGTTGAAGAAAAGACAGTAAGGAAGAGAGGGAAATTAAAACTATAGGGGCTGATGACATCACACAGGCAAAGAAGAGCCAAAGGACAGAAACTTGGAGAAAACCTGCATTTAATGGGCACACAGAGGACTCAACTGAGAAAATCTAGTTATAGATATAAAGTAGGAAAAATTGGAAGTCATTGTAACACATATATAGCTTTCTAATTCCTTAATTCTTTATGCTTCTCAAAAGGAAAAAAAGATTAGTGATATTAACTACTAATAAAAATATAAATGGAAATTTATATATACCTCTTGTGTTTCTCTAAGAAAATATGAGAAGCAAAAACTAAGATCAAAATAAGATAAAAGCTAAATCCAAAGATAGATATAAACCATGGTAACAAAATTATACTAAACAAAAATTTTCAGAAACAAATCTAGTCTGAAAAGCTTTGCCTTTCCCAAATTAGTTTCTGAACAGTTTCTACCAAAAAATAAATTCAAAATTAGTATTTTACTACCTAAATACATCTAGGTTTTAGCAATTTCCTTTTCCGAGGTAAACCGAGAATATTAAATATTTCGTATCTGGAATTAAGATCATTTTTATAAGAAAATATGGTGTGATATAATAAAATATAGTGTGATATAATAAAATTCATGTAACTTTTTTGTGTAACTTCTTCCAATTTTTTCAATACTTACATAGACTGAAAAATTTGTTTACTTCTTAATAAACTATACCTTTATGTTGACTAGCATCTGCATTGAAGTTCATCTGTCCTTCTAGATGATTCTGTCCATTATCATCTGAATGCTTAGCATGAGGATCATTATGAATAATCTTAGGCTGAGTGTCATCCTGTTCTCCCAACAAAATACTAAATAGCTGAGAACATAAAACGAATCCAATTGCTGATCCACAGAGGAAGATTAAAAAATTTAGCCAAGATTTAGAGGCCATTTCCCGAAAGTGTATTTCTGCAAAAAAAAAAAAAAAAAAAAAAAAAAAAAGCAGTATGTTATAAATTATAGAGCACTATACATACCACAAGTAAAAAGTCTGATAACTTAGCTACAATTAGAAAGTTAATCCCTTTCCTATGAGAGCATATCTAAGTGTATTTAACGTTTATCTATGAGTTTACACCTCTGTTTGCTGCTTAAACAGTACACTATGGACAAGTCAATAAAATGAATAACCATTGCTGGGGTGGGACCTAGGTAAATACGAGTATGGGAAAACATGATTCAATCAGAATCACTTGAGGAGCAGCTTAAAAATACAGATTTCCAGGCTCAACAACTGAGATTTCAGATGCAAAAAAAGTTCTGGGACAACTAAAATTTATATTTTTACTTTATTAAGGAAAAACTTTGTGTTATTTGCTGTTTTTTAAAGAAGCACACAATAAAGCACTGAATGAAGAAAGAAATTACCCTAAATCCCATCAACCAGAAACAACTCTTGGTGAATACCATTACATCTAGGAAGAGACGCTCTTTCTATCTGTAATGGCAGAGCATCTTTATAAATAACGGGGAGAGATAGAAGGAGAGATAATTACAGCTAACATTTGAGTCCTGCACCAAAACTAAGCACTATTAATCCCATTCATAGATGAATTTAGAGATCAGTAACCTTATCAGGGTCACACTAGTGATGTAAATCAAGAATTCAGACTCTTCATCATTTTGCTATCGTTTACAGAATTTGGATTATACCTGTTATGCTATCTTAGAGACTTAACATATTAGATTAGATTTACTTGAATATATTTTTAAAAAAGGGAAATTACAAAAATCTAAACAAACTTTGAATGCTGACTACACATTTCTGACATTTATCCCTCTTAAGCAAGCATCCTGTAAATGACCCCTTTAAAGATAAAGATTACAGAAAACATAAAACAATTGGAGCCATGCCCAAAACTGATATGATTAAAGACTAAATAATGCTGATAAAAAATCAAACAAGACCTAACTAAATGGGGAGACAGATCATGTTCATGTATTAGAATACAACACAATAAAGATGTCAATTTTCCCCAACTGAATACATGGGTTTAATGCAATTTCTATGAAAATCCCTCCAAGATTTCTTATACGGACAAGATTATTCTAAAATTTAGATAAGGTAAATAAATTGGAATAGCTACAATTTTTAAAAAGAAGAATAAAGTGAGAAGAATTAGTCTACCTGTGTTTAAGACGTCATAATACTGACTGAAACTGAGACTGTACGGTACTTATAAGGCTCATGGATCAATGGAACAGGACAGACAACTGAAAAATAGACTCACATAAATATACTCGACTGATTTTTGACAAATGTATAAAAACAGCTAAGTGGAGGAAAGATAAGACTTTTCAATAAATGTTGCTGGACATCCCCTAGAGGAAAAAAAAAAAAAATCCTGACCTAAGTCTCATACCTCATACAAAAATGGATCCTGGACTTAAATGTAAAACATGCAACTATAAAACTTAAAAAGAAACACACACACAAAAAAACCTGGATCTAGAGCTATGCAGAGAATCTTAGACTTGACAGCAAAAGCACAATTCATAAAAGGAAAGAAAATGATAAACTGGACTTCATTAAAATTAAAACCTGTGCTCTGCAAAAGATGCTACTGAGAAACTGAAAAGACAAGCTAAACTGGGAGAAAATATTCGCAAACCACGTATCTAACAAAAGAACTAGTATTTAGAATATATAAAGAATTCTCAAAATGAACAGCAAAAAAACAAAAGTCAAATTAGAGAATGAGAAGGAGAAGAACAGACATTTCATTGAAGAGGATGAACAAATGACAAGCAAATAAAAAAATGTTCAATTTCATTTGCCATTAGGAAAATGCAAATTAAAACTAAAAAGAAGTATCTTTACAAACCCATAAGGATGGCTAAAATAAAAAAAATAGTGATACCACCAAATCCTGCTAAGGATATGAAGAAACCAGTCACTAAATATTGCTGGTGGGAATGTAAAATGGTGTCTGGCCACTATGGATGAAAGTGACTATGTGGAGAAAAATGTATTCTGACTCATGAAATGAACCCAACTTCTTATCAAAGTAAACTACTCACCGTAACAAAATGGGGAAAATGACCAAACACATTTGAATGGTATGCCCCCAACCTGGTAAAGCACCCCTTACCACCTAGTTTTTAAAACACACACATAAAAGATCTCACCTCCCCAATTACCTCTTTTGAGTAGCTAAATGGCTACCTAGAAACTATCACCACCGGCAGCAAATAAATCTCCAGCTCAAATTTTAAAGGAAAGATCCAAATGGTGCATAAAATAATCACGTACAAGTGGGAGGTAGTAGAAGAGAATTTCCATCTATACAATTTTAAGATTAGCTAAAATGAATTTTTTAACGAATAAACAAATACATAGAACCTACATAATTTTGCAGTGGGAAAAAAATTAAACATAGGATGCAAAAGGTAGGTGAAAGAACAGTTCTGAATATTTACTCCACAAAAAGAAAATCTTAAACTGTATAGAATTACTTTAATATCTCTGAAATGGAAGAGAGTAAAACAATTACTGAATGATGTGAAAGATAAGGAATAGAGAGCAACCGGACAGGGGACTTATATCCCCCAAAAAGAACAGAATAAACAAAATAGAAAATATGTCCAATATAGTAAAAGAAAATGCACTGAAATGGAAGACATGCATCTGAATTATTTCTTGGCAGCACATCTTTTATTTTAATCACTTTAAATTTTCAATTACTGTTGACAAACATTGTTACATTAGTTTCCAGTGTACACCCCAGTGATAAGACATCTTAAGAAGTGATCATACCAATAAATTTTGACCACTCTGACATCATAAATAGTTGTTACATCCCCATGACTATTCTGTAACAACAAAGTTGTACTTCTTAAACCCTTCACCTTTTCTGCCCACCCCCCCACCTCCCTCCCATCTGTCAATTGTCAAACATTCTCTGAATCTATGATTCTGTGTCTGTTCTGCTTGTTTGTTTATTTTCTTTTTTAGATTCAATTGTTGATATATTGTTTATTGCTGCCTACTGTTCATATTTTTGATCTTTTTCTTAAAGAGTCCCTTTAACACTTCATGTAATACTGGTTTGGTGGTGATGAACTACTTCAGCTTTTTCTTGTCTGGGAAGCTCTTTATCTGCTCTTCAATTCTATATAATAGCTTTACAGGGTAGAGTAATTTTGATTGTAAGACCTTGCTTTTCATTACTTTGAGTATTTCTTGACAATCCTTTCTGGCCTGAAAAGTTTCTTTTGAACTTTTGGAAGCTCCCTTGTAGGTAACTGCTTTTCTCTTGCTGCTTTTAAGAATCCATCTTTCATCTTTGGCATTTTAACTATGATGTACCTTGGCGTAAGCCTCTTTGGATTCATCTTGTTTGGGACTCCCTGTGCTACCTGGACTTGTATGTCTAGTTCCATTACCAAGTTAGGGCAGTTTTCTGTCATTTTTTTCAAATAGGTTTTCAATTTCTTCCTCTCTTTTCTCTTTCTGGTACCCCCATGATGTGAATGTTGGTATGACTGAAGTTGTCCCAGGCACTCCTTACACTATCTTTATATTTCTGGATTCTGTTTTCTTTTTGCTGTTTTGATTAGGTGTGTTTTGTTTTGTTGCTTCCTTATATTCCAAATCGCTGCTTTGAGTCTTGGCTTCTTCCACTCTACTGTTGATTCCCTGTAAATTATTCTTCAATAAGTGTATCCTTCATTTCTGACTGGTTCTTTTTTTTATGCTGTTGATATTCTAAGTTTATTGAGCATCTTTACAACCACTGTTTTGAACTCTGCATCTAGTAGATTGCTTGTTTCCACATTGTTTAGTTCTCTTTCTGGAGTTTTGTTTTGTTCTTTCATATGGGCCATGTTTTTTTGTCCCCTCATTTTGGTAGCCTCCCTGTATTTGTTTCTATATATTGGGTAGAGCTGCTACTTCTTCCCAGGCTGGGTAGAGTGGACTAATGTAGTAAGTGTCCAGTAGGGTCCGGTGGCTCAGCGTCGCCTATCACCCAAGCTGGGCATTCCAGGTGTGCCCCATATGTGGGCTGTTTACCCTCCTCTTGTAGTTGAGCCTTGATTGCTCTTAGCAGATCAGTGAAAGGGATTTACCTAGGCCAATCAGCTTCACAGACTGGCTGTGATCACTGACTGCCAACTGCTGACCACATGGAGGATCAGCTGTGCAGAGGCCCAACCCACACAGCAGGACTTACTTGAGCAGGACTCTGGTTGCTGCTGAGTCTGCCCCTTGCGTGTGTCTCTCGTGGAGGTGGTTGGGTGGCAGTGCTTCAATGTGGTCTAAAGCTGTCCACTGGGTGCACAGGCTCTGGGGACTCCCAGGGGGTGCGGGCCAAGGTCAGCCACCACCTGTGTTCTGCCCAGGGCCGCCCAGCATAAACTATAAAAAGATTTGCAGATGGGTGTTACTTGTGCTGGGCTTGGGTGTACCCAGGTAAAGCCAATCTGTGAACCAAGGCCAGCTGTTGCTACTGCTGTGTCTAGGCCCACTTAGCAAGAAGTACAGGGCTCAAACAAGCAAGCCAGATGCTGCTTGTTTGAGAGAATTTAGGAAAATCTTAAGTATGAACGAAGTAAGCCATTTGTATGGAAAAGCCACTGGAAACATTGTCTTGGGTGGGGCCAAAAGTTCGGTGGGGCCGGGCCTCAGGGGATCACCAGGGTGGGGGCAAACAGAGTGAGCCAGGTTGATGGAATCTCAGATCTAGCATCCTCCTGCTGGTTGCAGGGGGAGGGCTCATTAAAGGAACAATGGCCTGTGCCAGTACTCTTGACTGGGAGAAAGCTGCCTCCTCAGTTCTTGCCCTGATGCCAAACAATTCAGTTCTTCCCTGTATAGCTCTGGTGCCTCTTAAATAACTGTCCCAGTGCTGGAGCTCAGAGGGAGTGAGTCAGAGTAAGTGCATGTACCGGCCCTTTTATAGGAATTGCAGAGACTCCAACAGCTTCTGTGTTCCTCAGCCTCTAATCTTGCTGGTTTTTATAACCAGAAGCTATGAGGACTTTTCTTTCTGGCACTGGAATCCTGGGCCGGGTGGTCCCGTGTGGGGATGGGACCCCTTGCTCCTCATAGGGGACGTCCACAGCCAAGCTATCCCTCCCACTATTTATCTGACCCATGCGAGTGTGGAACCAGCCTTTCTGTGTGTCCACCCCTACTACCATTCTCAATGTGGCTTTTTCTTTACATTTCTAGTTTTAGGACTTCCATTCAGCCAGATTTCATGTGGTTCTGAAAGATGGTTGTTCTCTAGTTTAGTCATAATTTTGATGTGGTTGTGGAAGGATTTGAGTACCACATTTACATATGCTGCCATCTTGAAGGGAAGTGAGATATGAATATTTAAAGGTCTCATATAGACCCCGGAAAAACCTATATAGATGGATCTGTATTGAGAGAGATACTGAACTTCACACTTTAAAAAAACATAAAAACTCTATTTATCCAGGGGAAAAAAGCAAGTCAAAGGCAAAATATTAGGCAGAACTACAAAAGAAAAAATATTAGGCAACTTTCTCCTCTTTATTATATACCAAAACAAACAAAAACCCTGCAAAAAACCCAAGTAGGCCAACAGACTTAAATTATCAGGAAGGTGTCATTCAAATATCAAGAGAACAGCTCTGGCTGGCGCGACTCAGTGGATTGTGTGCCAGCCTGCGAACCAGAGTCTCCAGCACGATTCCTAGTCAAGGCACATGCCTGAGTTGCGGGCCCGGTCCCCAGGAGGGGGTATATGAGAGGCAACCACACATTGCTGTTTCTCTCTCTCTCTTTCTCTCTTCCTTCCCCTCTCTAAAAATAAATAATAAAATCTTCCTAAAAAATCAAGAAAACAGACATGTTCTAATATGCCATGACTCAGTATGTATATACCCTAAGTAATACTACCTACTTAAACAGTTCATCTGAGAGTTAAATTCAGATTTAAAGAAAAACACAAAATTCACAAATAAAGAAATCATTCAATGAAAGGGTTAGCATACACATGAAAAGACTGTACTCCTTTCCAATATAAAACTGGAATAACTGTGTGTGTTAATTATGACACAAAGCAGAAATGTTATTATCCTGAAAAGAAAACCTACGCAAAATAAATTTAACTACAAAACACCTACGCATAAAAGACATACCATGTAAATGAAAAAGAAGTGGGGGTTGGGGAGAATATGCTAAGAAGTACTCTAATTACATCACAGGGGTAATAGTTGGGTTTGTTGTTGTTTTTTTAAGTTTAATTATAAAAATCTTCAAATGCATATGTAAGTATAACAATGAATCCTCACATATCCATCACACAGATTGAATTATAAAATGTGCTATACTTCATTTATTATTTTGTCAATCAGAGAATTTTAATGCTTATTCAAGACATCAAGTCATTTCATTTCTACATACTTTAATATACTTCTCTGAAAATATGAAATGTTCTTATAAGCCACAATGCCATTATGAAATGCCTAACAAAATTAATAATTCTTTGAACTTACCCAAACCACAGTCTAATAAAATTTCCTCAACTGTCTTCTATAATCAAAATTGCATCAATTAACTAACAAATGTCTTTTTTTTTTTTTACAGTTGGGTTTATTCAAGTCAGGATTCAAACTATAGGAACATTTAAAGATAAAATGAAAAGACAAGAGAACACATTACATGACAAACAGTTGTTAAAGATGAAAACCCAAATGAAGCACATATTTCTAAAAGAGCAAATTATCAAACCTGACTCAAGCTATAAACCTAAATGGGCAAATGACCACAGAGGAAATAAAGAATGCTGTCAAAAAGTCAAGACTTCAAAAACATCCAGGCTTTTCCTGGATACTTCAATCTTCCAAAAAACTTAATTTTTAGGTTACATAAATCATTCTAGAAAATTAGGTAGTAGACTTTAACCAATTATTTTATATAAAAGCTTGATACCAATATCTAAAATGAGCCCTCAAAATTGATAGCATAGTAAACCTGAATCCAATCGCACTTCAAAATAATACATTATCAAAGAGAATGCAGACCAATCATTAGTGGTCATCTTAAGTTGGGTTCTGTGGAAGCAAACTCTGAGATGAGGCATTTGTGTGAAAGTGACTTACTAGAAAATATTCCCTGGAAAAACTTGTAGGGAAGTAAGACAGGGAAGGGAAGGAAATCAAGGGTAAGATACCAGGCGAAATCCCATGGAACATAATTTTAGCTCAATACTGCACAGTAGTTCTGGAGACCATGTAAGGCAACACACTTCAGAGTTTTACCCACACAAGTAACCACTGGTTAAGGACCGTCCTGGGGAAACCAATTTCCCAGACACTTCCATAGCCTGTCCATTGGTAAAGTAGGTTCTGGCAATGCACAGGCAGCCCTGCAACAAAGAACCTTAGGAGACACATATTGAGAGTGAAAACACAGGAGCCTGTGACCAGGAAGGGTATACAGGCCTAGAGACAGATTAGCACAATCTGCCACAGTGACTTCAGGAGAGGGGAAGTTAAAATCCATTTGGTTTAGATTTGCACTATGGAAATCCTCAAAAGGTTCAGTGATGAATCATTCCAGATGGATCATCCTACAGTGAAGACCACTGGTGATGGGCCCAAGAATGGGCAAGGAAGGAGATTACAATTCCTTTTTTAGTTATCTACTCGAATATATTAATGGCCACTTAAGGATCACCAAATATATTCAGGAAAGCCTCTAATATGAAAGAAAAAGGCCAAGCTAGTCAAATTTTTCTTAGAAGAAAAGTTGCACATTTCATGTGCAATGAGATGAAAACTAAAAAAACAAAAAAACAAGAAAAAAAAACTATCATTAAAATCTGGAGACAAAAGAAAAAAAAAAAAGCCATGCTATTTTATTCATAAGAACAAATTACAAGTTTAAAAATAAAAAGTGCTGAGAACACAAAGAACACCTACAAATTAAAACTTAAAAAAATAAAAACCTCAATAAAGCAGCTATAGGATAATGTTAAGGAAATTGCCCCAAAAGTAAGCAAAGCAAAGAGACAAGACAATGGAAAATAAGAGAGAAAACTGACAACTGAGGATCAGCTTAGAGATGCAGATAAAAGAGGGACATGGACATCAAAATCTAAATTATTTCACGGAAGTTTACAGACTGAAAAGATCCAATGATACCCAGCACAATGAATAAAAAGACCCATAAATATACACTATCACAAAACTTCAGAAACCATTTTGTTCACTGGCAAAGTAGGCTCTGGCAATGTGAGGGCAACCCTGCAACAAAGAATCTTAGGAAACCATTCTGTAAGCTTTCAGAGAAAGGGGTAAAAGGCTCCATACAATAGGTCAGGAATTACATGGTTTTGTACTTTCACACAAAAATGAAAGCCAGGAAAAAAAAAAAAAGAAATGCCTTCAAAATTCTGAGGAAAAATGATTTCCAATCTGGAATTTTATACCAAGCCAGACTATCCAACAAGTAAACAGGATGAATAAAGATTATTTTAAAGACATGACAGACTTTGGTTATTGATTCAGTGTATCATACTGTGTCTACCTGAAAGCTCTAGTGGTAAGGCACTGATGCAGAAATGTTGAGCATGCTGTTTGAGATGCAGGTCTGGAGCCCTGGGAAAACACTCACAGTTGGTCATTCGTATACTTGGTTTAAAAAATAACAGTCAAATCTAAAGCACGATCTAGCAAATAAAAACAGATAACAATGAATTATTACTCAATGTGAAAATTATTCTGCTAAGTACTTTAAATTAATTCACTTAATCATTAATCACTTAAACATAATACAGGATAAAAGTTATGTAAATTCCTAATACTTTTAATAGCTTGCCATGTGGCATGATACCCAAAAAAACTCAAAAGTTAAGGTTTTATTTAACATACTCCCTTTTTTTGCCTTCAAAATGTTATTTCAGTGACCCAACTCTGACATGACACTTTTCTTTCATTCTTTAACCATTCTTCCCTAGGCTATTTTACTTCTCTTCACTAACAACTCCATAGAGGTTTCCCATAGCAGTCTTTTTTAAAAACATAAAACTTTCTAAAACCACAGGATCAAGTCCATATTGTTTATTTGGTACACAACATCTGACTCTAGTTCACCTTTTTGCTCTCTTACTTCTGATATTTCCTATCCATAAAGTCTATATTCACCCATCTGCCAAAGTCTGTCTTGACTGTTCATATGGATGCCTTTGGCCATTCTATTTTTTCTGCCCAAAGTGCCCTCCTTGATTCTGGATAGATGTGTAATTATCTTTCAAGGTTACCTACCCAGAGTGATCTACAGAGTCATTGCAAACTCTATCAAAATCCAACAATATTTTTTTGATAGAAACAGAAATATCCATCATAAAATCTTCATGGAATTTCAAAGTACCTCAAAAAGCCAAAAACAATCTTGAAAAAGAATAACACTAGAGGACTCACATATTCTGATTTCAAAACTTACTACAAAAGCTACGGTGATCAAACAGTGTAGCACTGGCATAAAGATATGCATATAGACCAACTGGACATAAGAGCACAGGAATGAACCCTCATTTTCACTGTCAACAGATTTTTGTAAAGGGGGCCAAGTCTACAGGATGGGCAAAGGACAATCTTTTCAACAAAATGTGCTGGGAACCTTGGACATGCACGTGCAAAAGAATGAGGTTGGACCCTTACCTAATATCATATATAAGAATTAATTCAAAATGGATCAAAGACCTTAACATAAGTCTAAAATTATAAAGCTCTTAGAAGAAAACATAGGACAAAAGCTTCATGACATTAGAAGTGGCAATAATTTCTTGACTATAATATCAAAGGCACACGTGACAACAAAAAAGTCACAATGGGCTTTATGAAAATTTTAAAAGCTTGTGCATCAAAAGATAGGAATGCGAGTAAAAAAGCAACCCACAGAATAAAAGATAATACTTTCAAGTCACATATCTGATAAAAGGTTAATATCTAGCATACAGAGAACTCCTAACCACAGAAAAATAACATCTAATTAAAAAATGAGCAAAGGAGTTGAACAGGCACATCTCCAAAGACGACACACAAATGGCCAGTAAGTGTGAGCATGCTGAGGATAAAATGATGCTCAAAACATCACTGATCATGAAAACAACCAATGAGATTATCATCTCTCATTCATTAGCATGGGTACAAAAAAAAAAATTCAGTGTTAGTGAGGATGTACACTGGAAACTTCTGTACACTGTTGGTGGGAATTTAAAGTGCTACAGTCACAGTGGAAAATACTGGGGGTAGCATGGCAGGCAGTTCCACAGAAAATTATAAATAGAATAACTATATGATTTAGCAATTCCACTTCTGAGTATACGTCCAAAAGAATTAAAAGCAAGGTCTCAAAGAGATATTTATATACCCACACTTATTGAAGCATTATTTAAAATGCTAAAATGTGCAAGCAACTCAAGTTCCATCAATGGGTGACCGGAAAAGCAAAATGTGGTATATACGTACAATGGAATATTATTCAGCCTTTAAAAGGAAGAAAATTTTGAAATAGGCTTTAACGCGGATAAAACATGAGGCCATTATGCTAAGTGAAATAAGCCAATCACAAAATGACAAATACGATATGACTCTACTCTATGAGATACTTAGTTAAAATCACACAAAGAGAAAAGAGAATGGTGGTTGCCAGGGACTGGAGGAGGGGAGCAATAGAGAATTATTGTTTAATGGGTACAGAGTTTCAATTGCATAACAATATAAATGTACTTAATACCACTGAAACTTACACTTAGAAATAGTTAAGGTGGTAAATTTTATGTGTATTTTACCACAATAAAAAAAATTGGGAAAAAAATCAGTAACAAAGGTGTTGATTTTCTCCAAAGTAATTTATATATTAATGCATCCCAACAAAAAATTTAAGATTTTTAAAAATTTAAATAGCTTGGTAAAAAGTATTCTAAAAGTATGGAAAAATAAACATGTGAACAAGAGAAATTCGGGAGAGGGGTATAGGTGATGAACTAAGCCTACCAGACCCACTTAAAATATAAGATTTTAAAAATTTAATAATGTAAAAGTTACTCTAAGTGTTGTTTGGAAAAACAAACGTGAATATACCAGGAAATTCTTGAAAAGGGTACCAGGGGTGAGAGGGTAGATTAGGTATACCAGATATTAAATTATATCAACAAAAATAAACAGTGGTATAGTAATAATTTTATATCCAGATGAAACAAGCATATCAATGTATCTATGAATAACAATATTTTAATTGTGTAAATTTGTGTGTTAATTAATACTAAAGACTAAGTGCTGAGAAATGTTTTTCTCTACAACCAAACTGTCATAAAGTTTATCAATGATATTACAATATCCCACTCTTGTACAGACAACGGATCATTAATGGAGCAGAAGCAGCCTCAATTTCTAAATCACAGATAAGGGTGTCCCAGACAGAACATTCCACATTTAACTTTGTAGTCTCCAAGGCAACAGGTGTCATGTTAATTAACCCACAGCCTCCCTGTGCTTTAAACCTATCAAATATTGATTCATTTAAATTTTATCTAAACTCCACCCTCCAAAACCCTATAATCACCCTGTCCCTTTATTTAGTGAAATGCTGGCAGTTCCTCTGGTGTTTAGTCTCCCTCACAGCAGCAAGTTAATTAATCTACCTTTGTAAACCCAAAGCTATCCTTAGTGGTTTTTATCAGATCAAATAGTCTATTAAAAAAAACAAGTACAGCCCTGGTGGGTATGACTCAGTAGACTGAGTGCTGGCCTTCAAACTGAAAGGCCACTGGTTTGATTCCCAGTCAGGGCACATGCCTGGGTTGCGGCCAGGTCCCCAGCTGGGGATGTATGAGAGGCAACCAATTGGTGTTATCTCTTGTACATTGATGCTTCTCTCTATTTCTTTTTCCCTCCCTTCCCCTTTCTCTAAAAAATAAATAAATAAAGCTTCTTTTAAAAAAGTACATATGGAAATTTCATGTATAATACACACAGCATTTCCAATCAAGAAAAAGATGGCTTATTTAAGCAATGATTGGATTAATCTTTTTGGAAAAAGTTAAAAGCAACCATTTGGATCCTTACCTTTCTCAAATTCCAAATATTTCCAAGATTTCATTATTTAAAAAATAAAATTAAAACAAAGCTAGAAGAAAACATCTTTTTACATTTTACGTCATGAACTGAGATCTTCCTAAAACTCAAAAGCTGTGACTACGGAAAAACTGTATGGGGTTATTCATTGGGTAAATTTTTGGCAGTGAAATTGCTGGTTCAAAGGTCTGATTCTACAGTAAATGTTCAAAACAGTATCTGTGGAGAGAAAAAAAGTATCAAAGAAAAACCAAAAAACTCAATCTTATATAAAAGCATTTAAAAGGTTTACAGAAAAAAAATACAATGGTCAATGATGTTCAAATTTCATTCATATTAGAGAAAGATAAATTAAATGAAGATATTATTTTTAACCTAACACACTGGCAAACAAATTTAAGTTTAGTAACCACCCAGTATTGATATACCTATGTGAGAACGCTGGCACTCATACATTCTTTCTCGCAATATTTATTGTCTTTTGGAAGGCAATTTGGCAATATCTTTTAAGATTTTTAAATGAATATGCCTTGACTCATCATTTCATAATTAGAAATTTCTCTTATGGTCATGGTCTGAAAGATGTTCACAGCAGCCACAGCTAAGTTTGTTTATTGACAAGGAAGTATTTAAAAAATAGCACAATCCATAGCATTAAATACTCTGCAGCTGTTGAAAATGATAATTCATAATTCAGTAATAAAAATCTTTGCACTTCTGGCAAAGACTATCATTTTTTGTTATTAAGGTAAAACAAACTCAATTGAAACCATAGGAAAAAAATAAAATATACAGAAAAGAAAATGTTTTCCTTCCCATTTCTACACTAGTTCTCCCCAAAGGTAACTAGTATATCCTTGGGGGGAAAAAGTAATGCCTATATCAGCACCCTTTTATTTACATATGTGCATCCTTTAATTTACACCAAAGAGATGATGGATATGATGCTCTAGATCCATCAGTCTCCACCTTACCCAGTTCACTTATTTTTTCTCATAATACAATCTCACTTAACAGCGTGTAACAATGTTGTATTAACAGTATGTGAGATAAAAGATTTATTTTTTAAGACAAAGCACTACTATGGTCTCTATCACATGACTGCACTTGTTTTTTAAATATTTCTGTATAGTTTAAAAAATTCTAGAAAGGTAAGTATAGAACCCCTCCCCCAATCCAGTTTCACTTTCCCTGGTTTCAGTTACCTGTGGTCCTCCCCCCAAAAAAAAATTAAATGGAAAGATCCAGAATAAACAATTCATAACTTTTAAAATGCACACTGTTCTAGGTAACATGATGAAATCTTGCACTATCCAACTCTGTACTACTCAGGATGTGATTCGTCATTTTGTACATCATCTAGGCTGTATATGCTTCCCTTCCATTAGTCACTTTAGGAGTCAGGTTAATGAGATCCACTGGTATTGACTGGTATGTTAAAGTAATCCTTATTTTACTAAATAATGGCCCCAAAGCACAATAGCAGTGTTGCTCTCAAAGAGAAGCTGTAAAAAGTGCTTTCTTTAAATGAAAAGATTTGCTTTACCGTGCTTCACAGATGTTGCGTTTTTTGACAAATGGACGGCAAAACCCTCCACCAGCAAAAAGATTATGACTGATTTTATTGCAGTCATCTGGAACCAAACTCACACTATCTCTAAGGTACGTATAACACGGTTTGGTACTATCCACAGTTCCAGGTGTCCAATGGGGATCTTGGAGCATATGCTCTATGCACAAGGGGGAACTACTGTACACAAAATATTTAACAAGCAATACCTCTGGAAACTAAGACTAGGTAGCAAAGGCAGAAAGGACAAATTTATTTTCACATTACAACATTTTTGTTTTTTGATTTTTAAATCAAGTACACACCTATTGCTTTTCTGACAAAAAATTAAAGGTAGGCTACTTTACATAGGGAGTGAAATAATATAAGAAATTAAATTGCACTAATTTTCCTACACTTGTTACACGAAAAGATCTCTTGATCCTTTTCAGACTTCTTCAAGTTTCAGAATCATAATATGCACACGACATTTCCACCTGACTTTAGGCATCTCAAATTCAACATGTCCAAAACGGACTCATCACCTTCCTCCCTTAAGCCTGCTCATCTCACCTAAATTACTGGTAATTACCTAAATTACTGACCAATAGGTTCCTATTTTACTAGGAACCATTTGGTTATCTAAAGCAAAAAATAGGGAGACATTGTTAACACTCTCCTTACCCTTACCCCACATCCAATTACCAAATCTTGCCAATTTTATTTACTAAATAGTGTTCTAATCCATCCTCTCCTCTCCATTTCTACTACTTGTCCTATTTTACACCCTCCTCTCTCCCCTAAGGTACTGCAATGTTTCACCAGTTTCCCTGCTCAAATGCTATGTCTCCTCAACTCAACACCATTCTGTCTCGAAACGTCACTCCATGAATCCTCCATGGACCCCCACTGCCTATAAGACAAAAACTAAGCCTCTGATAAATCCTTAATCTAGACCCTATCCAGGTTTCCAAACTTATATTTGAATACTCCATGCCTTATAATTTAAGCTTCAGCAATCTTGAACTATCTACAGTTTGCTAAACATCCCATTGCAGTTAGCTCCTCTATTCCTACTGTCCTGTTTACACAACAGACACTATCTTCCTTCTACCATCTATGCCCCAACACACGTAAGTCCAAGATTAAGCCAAGATTTCTTAACTTGGCACAAGTGACATCTTGAGCTGAATAATTCTCTCTTTGGCGGGGGTGGGGGGTGGGGGGGTGGGGGTGGGGGGGGCTGTTCTGTTTACTGTCAGATTTTTAGCACCATCCTTGTCCTACACTCACTACATGTCAGTAGCACTCCCCCTAGTTGTGACAGTAGCCCCTCCACCCCGCCAGGGACACTTCCTATTTTCACACATTACAGATTTTGGCATGCATTTTCTCTTTGGACATTTGAATCAGCTGCAAAGTGAAAATTTAATTAGAGACCCATTTAGATTTTAATATAAAATGCTAACTTCCCTTTTTTTTCTTCTTCTTTTAAAAGAATGACCTTAATCCCACTGAATTTTGGGGAAAAGAATTTTGTCATACCTTTCTTTCCATCCTGCTAGGCTGTTCACTAGCCTTTTTACTCAAATCTCGACAAATCTTCTAAAAGTCACATAGTTATACTGGGGAGCTTAATATTTTAAGTGAATCTGAAGTTCAGAATGGTTGTCCATTTTCTATCTAATGTTTGTTTATACCTGCACTGTCACCAGACTTCCAATCATTTTACCACACAGACTATTTCAAATTACCATAGTTTGTAAAGTTCATAAGCTGTATATAATGCAGTTTTTATCTTACTGAGCACAAATCAATATATAAGTAGTAAAAAGCATATGTCTAGTGGCAAACTTTTGTGTTTCTGGGACTTAGGTGAACATTAATTTATTATATGTACTCCTAAATAAGTTTGTAATAAAATTCTAATAATTTTTGAATATTGAATTTACTCAGAAATACATAATCAATACCAGAAAAACATATTAAAAAAGCCTGATACCTACCTTTAAATGGGTAGTAACCACAAAATATTTTTAAAATTCTACATTTTAATTACAAAGATTCATTAAAACTTAAATTCCAGGCAAATTTACAAGAAAACATTTAATGGTCCTCCACTAGTACTGAAAAACCATACTCTTTTCCTGTTAAGAACTTTAAATGAGTCATACTTTCCTTAGTAAATCACTGTTTTGCTTGAAGTATGGTAAAAAGAGTTAACTGGTAACTGGAAACTTTCTATTCACTTAAGTTGCATATCAATATATACTACGACTGGCAGAAAATAAATTAAGAATAGTTTACTACAATACTTAGAACACGTAAGATCTTGTGCACAAAGCTTATTTGACACTTATCTGATAAGGGTGTGAAAAGTGGTCTAAATACCTCTTAAAGATTCAAGATTCCCCCTGTCTAAACTTATACCAGAATTAAACAACTTGAAATCACGCTCCAAGCATAGCTATCTGTTCTATGCCCAACTTTTAGTAAATTAACACATTTCTATCCCTCACACACTGGCCAATTAGTCACTCTGATGCATTAAAGTTCTAACTTTATAACTAACTTCTAAATTCATAAGGAAATCAATTCACAGGTAGTATAATAGTTTTCCAATCTGAAATGCGTAAAGGCTATACCACATATCTATAATAAATGTACAGAACTAGATTATAAATCTAGTCAACATTTCCAGAGCGTGTGTTTTTTTGTTATTTTAAAAAATAAGGGAAGAGGGTAAGAAATAGAGGATAAAATATAAATCCCCATCCCTAAAAAACGTTCACCTTTAAAGAATATATAATTTGTCCAAATCCAAAGCTGTATGGCCAAGTTGCCAGCTGCTACTAGTCAAATCATACTTGCGGGAAAGGTGGAGGGTGGAGGGACTCTTCCTTCTCCTCGCGGCAGGAGCTCAAAGCACACCTTGCTAGGTAATTCTCCAAGGCAGAGGTATTTAAAAACATGTATTTCTCACGGACAAACCTGACGATCCAAGAAAACCCAGAGGAAGTCCCCGGCACTCGTGGAAGGCGCCCACTCGCTGGAAGCTCAAGTGGTGCGGCAGCCCGGCGGCTCTCGCAGAAAATGCCTACACCTGAGCGACATTTCCCGCTAGACCCACAGGTCGGAGGAGGGCCGGGAGGGCACGGCGGGGCAGGACCGCTTAAAGGTCCGGCCCTAACCCAGGCGCAGCCGGCGTCTCACTGTCGCCGCCCGACGGCAAGACAGCGCGCGAGGAGAGGGGAGGCGCGAGCGGGCAAAAGGGAAAGATCCACGGCGAAGAGGACGCAACAATTCAACCAAATAGCGAAAGGCTGGGCAGGCGAACTCAATGGCAGTTCGCAGAGGCTCCGGGAGCAGGAAGTACCCCGCGCCGCATTCAGGAGCCCGCAACTCCCCAGCTCCAGCGGCGACTCCAAGACACCTGTTTGGTTTGCCCGCGGTTTGGTTCCACTCTCCAGGCTCCCCCACGCCGGCCCCCGCTCCACCTCCCCCGAGCCAACACACAGACACACACTCCGAAATGGAGGAGGGCGAGGGAAACCAAGACCTAGGACTCGCAGCCTGAGGGCGCCACCGCCGGCCGTACCTGACATCAGCTGCGGCGCCCTCTCGCCCCTCCTGGGGGGCGGAGAGGAGGACGACACAAGACCGGCGACCTTCGCTCTCCTCCGCAGCCGCAGAAGTGGCTTGCGGCCGCCAGTCGGGGCCGCCCGCTGCCGCCCAGATTATTCCCCGGCAGCAGCGGCGGCGGCCCAGGGGCGCCCAGCGCGCGCTCCCGCCCTCTCGCTCCGCCCCTCCCCGCAGCGTGTCCAGGCCGCGGCCCGCCGACGGCGCAGGCGCCACCCAGGGGTCTCCGATCGCCTACGTCGTCGCCGCCGCACCAGCCCCAGGGAAGGGCCGAGCGAGAAGGGGCAGGGTGGGCGGGGCTACGGAGACGTGCGGAGGAGGGGATTGGCTGCCGAGCTCACGCCTCGCCCTTCTGCGTAAGGGTCTGGGAAGTCGGGTCTTTGAGCAATAGTCGCAGTTTAGTGGCGGCTCTTGACTGCTGGCTTTCACGCTCTTCATCCCGTTATAGGGTTTTGCTCTAGGTTCTGGACCTTGAGAGGGACTAAAGCAGTGAGACATCAGGGACTGGGGCTGGGGGCGTCTTCTGGACCTTTGTCTGAGGGACAGGATGTAACCCTGCAGGAGTCTTGACCTCTAGCCTGCTTTTACCCCGTTTTTCCCGTTTCTCCCACCCGACCCTCGTGCTCTCTTTACCTGGTATCTCTCTGGCCTTAATGAAAGGAAATACAGCAAGATGAGGGATGCAAACGAGTGCTGAGTTACCAGTTCTATGAACTAGGAAGGGCCGAAAATTAGGTGATAATGTCACAAAGCCTTGTGTAGGCACACGTTGTGTTTAGTTCTGCCATTACTTCAGTACTGTCAGGCAACGGCAGGAGGAGCTTCTTCGGAGCTTAGCAAAACTTACCTCTTGCTTAGTTGACAAAAGGACTTTGAATCAGAAATTTGAATCAGAGAGAGGAGCCTATTCAGCCAAAGAGGCAACCTCAAAGGCAGGAGATGGGGGTAAAGCCTTGGCTGTATTGGGGTTAACCGTCATCTACAAGGTCTAACTGGAAGGTGAAAAGGCTATCTAGCTTCCTTCAAATGCCCTCCTAAGGCAGTTCTTTAGTGGCTTTTAGCATAGCTATTAGGAGTGTAGACCCTGGGCTGGAATCTTGGTCCCTCTACCTATTAGTTGTGTAATCTTAACACTATTACTTAATATGCCTGAGAGAAATAAGAAACAACGTTTTTAAGTTATTGTTGCTATTTTCCCTTTATGTAAATTCATTCTGCTCTAGTGTAGTTTTCCAGGATATGCCATTAAATAGATCCAAAAGAAACTTCCGACAGAATTTTAAAACGTCTAGTGATTCTTATCCAAACCTCTCATTTTCCTGATAAGAACACTGAGATCAGAATGATAAACCGATAGGTTCATGCTAGAAGTGGGAGGATCTTCATGTTCAGTTTACTGCTCTTTCCCTGGCCCATGACTCCAGACTTCTCTCCCTTACATCCTTACCTTCATTCTCTTCTCTCTTTCTCGGCCTTACCTCCCACAGCTGCTATAAAACGGGGCAAGGAGACCCTTCAGATTTCCTGTTCCAAATAGAAAGGAAAGCAAGGCAAAAAGGCAACCCTCAAAAAACTCATTTTAATGTCATTGAAATTTATAATGAATAAGGAATAACATTCTCTAATGAGCAAAGATAAGAAACCCGTCTAAGGATAAGGTCAGCCACAGCACGTCTAAGAAAATTACTGGCAATAAGGAATGTTGATATGAAGAATAACAGATTAGGTCAGTCCCTCCCACCCTCTTGTTTGCAAATAGCTACTATTTTAATGAATACAACACCTACTATTCAAACACAGTGTTTTCCCAAATCTCATAATCCAGAGATAACCATTTTAAAAATTCACGTTCTACTCTTCCATACATCTCTATGAATAAAAAAATACATAAAGACATATAAATACTTTATAAATTGGACCTTATGTACACAGTTCTTTTCTCGTTGAACAGCATGTCATGAATAACATTTTTAAAAGTTGCATAATGTCCATTAAGTGGACAAACCATCAGTTATCTAGCCAGTGTACTATGATTGACATTCATGTTTTTTCCCAAATGTTTACTATTTTTAACAAATCTTTGATGAACTTAGTCATACATGTCCCTTTGCACAACTGTATAGTTACCTTTTGGGTCAAATTCCTAGAAGTGATATTTTTGTCAGCCAATTCTTCAACATTATCAACTAGAAAAAAGAAAGTGTGGCTCCTTTGGAAAATATGCTTTATATGTGGGACTCAAAACAACCAGATTCTCCCATTTGAAACACAGATAAACCTCAGACAGTACTGTGAGTCTAGTGTGGTGTTTCAGTACCATGTGTCAGAGCTCTTCGGAGCACGATAATGTGTGCCGAGGCACCTTGGAGCAGGGTGATTGACACTACTAGTTGTTTAAAGCAATAACCTTTCTTCCTTATTAGTAGAAGTTTTATTTTTTTTTCAAGGTGGCAGTGTGTGCAGTTAAAAATATTTACTTCCCCAGATTCCTGTAAGCCACGATTGGCCATGTGACCTGTCAACAAAATTAAAGTTGATATTTCCAGGAGGGGCTCAAAGTTTCATGGAAGAAATATTTAGCCATTGAACTTACACCCATTCCTTTTCTTACCAGGAGCAATGGCATGATTCAGGAGGTAGAGCAGCCATATTTCAACCATAATAACAAAAGCCCCACACATAGGAAGTCAGAGATGCCTATTTCATGATTGCTTTGGGGGGCCAGTTTACCAGTTCTGGACTGCTCATTTCTGGACTTACTGCATGAGGGAAAATGAATTCCTCCTATTTAAGGTTTTGTTGTTTGGATTTTATATTATAAGCACTGAATGCAATTCCTAACTGGTATATTAAGATAGAAGAAGTCATCATTTATTTAGCACTATGTAGTATTTTCAATAAACAGGGTGAGAGGAAAATGGGGACACAATGCAAACAAGCAATAACAACAATAAAAAACCACTCTCTTCTCTGATTGACTTCGCTTCTCTTTAAATACCCAAATATTGCATTAAGATTAAGAAATCATTTTGTAATAATTAGATTAAGTTCCATAAAGTAAATTATATTCACTGGTACAGTAATTTTAAAATATGTCCACAAGTTCTTTGCTACTTCTTCCTTCAAAAGGTGGAGGTGAATTCCCCTCACCTTGAGTTTGAACTGTTCTTAGTGACTTGTTCTCATGAATAGAACAGTTTAGAAATGACATAGTGTGATTTCTTGGGTGGGGGGAGCATTATAAAACATGTAGAGGCCCACATTATGAATAATTAAGGCTTCCAGCCAACAGCTGTTGAGGAACTGAGGCACCGAGGACTTCTGACAACAATTTGAGTGAATTTGGAAGCAGATCCTCCAGCCCTAGTAAAGCCTTCAGATGACTGCATCCCTGATCATCTTAGGAACCTCGAAAGAGGTTCCTGAGCCAGAACCACTCAGCTAAAGTGCTCCTGAATTCCTGGCCCAGAGCAATTGTGAGTTAATAAATGTTTGCTGTTTTAAGCCATTAAATTGGGGATAAGTTGTTATGCCACAAAGATAACTAATAGAGTTAGTTACAATAGTGCCTAGCACAATGCCTGGTACATACAGGGTCTGGCACAAATAATGCCCCTTTTTATTACAAAATACCTTCTTACAAAATCATAAGCATTAATTCTGTAACATAACAATACCACACTCAAGCGCACCGTATGACATTTTAGGTGAAATGTTCAAATTAAAACTATAAATTATTACATCGATATTATTATCCTACCAACCACACTCAAGCAGGCCTTACTTCTGCTGGACCCTGTATTTTAGTGTTTAATTTTTTGTTGTTTGAATGAATAAGCAATTGAATGAAGTAGAATATTTCTTTTTCACTTTAAACAGTAACATATGATGCTGGTATTATCTTTGATCCCTGACACCTGTATTACATCAGAGTTTTCTGACATGATGATAGAGAAATCAATTGTGAATCTTGCTGAGATCTAAACATCCTGAAAGAAATATATAGTGAATAGAGCAGTGGAACCTTTGAGGCTTGAATGATGCTCTCAGTTTTATCACTGATTAGCTGAGTGGCCCATGGCAGGTCACTTAAGACCTCTAAATCTCAATTCCCCTATCCATAAATTTGGGTAAATAATCCCAACTTGCCTCAAAAGGAAGTCAATGAGATTATATGTGACAGTGTAATTGTAAAACATTAACATGTTTTTAATTACATTAGACTCATGTGGTCTATCCTATTTTATTTATAAACAATTAAGCATTAAATTTTTTTTTTGAAGGGTACACATTCACTTCAATTAAAATGTGTGCACATGAAGGGGAGAAGCTTGAAATAAAGTTCTATACAATGGTCTACTGGCAAATGTTTAACAACCAGCTCCCCAGAAAATATATACTTGTATACATACATATCAATGTACATTAATTAATAATAAGTCTTACTGATGTAAAGGATGTAGAGCTCACAATTTTATAAAGAACAACAAAGTATAAAATTCTTTTTGTTGAATTTCCATATAGCCAAATGATATTCACATAGTGTTGTCATCAGTTTTTGCTGTACTCTTGTATTTAAAGTCAAACTACAGTTAAATATCAAATATTTTAGATGTGTATACCATGAAGACTCTTCTTTCAAGAGGTAGTAACTGATTTTACTGTGTTCCTTTGTAAAATATTAGCATCATTTATAGTAAGCAGTTAGGGTTTAAGAATATGGCAGGATAGCAGGTTATTAAATGTCAGATCCCATTTTATTAGCCTGTTGAAAATTTATTGCACCTTTAAAAGAATACATAATCATGACTGGCTTCTTCTTCTTTTCATGAATTAATTTGTAATTGTGGTTGGGTGTGTGCCCCTCTTTACAGTAACAGTGGTAGTTAAACATACTTAGTAATAAACATACATTTAACCAATAATTTGCTCTGAGTCTAAGAGTTTATCCTAGAGCAAAATTGTACCTAGCAGTAAGAAAATAAGTTGTAGACTACATGTATTTCTTTTTCAGAAAGAAGGACAATGGGACATCAGAGGTAGAGATTATGTAGTTATTGACAATGCACAACTTGGTGGTATGACTAACCCCCTAGGTAAATGTATGACGGTGAGCAAGATAGAACCTTAGGGTAAGATTCAAGTCCCGATTATGTAGTGGATGAATAATCCAAACTCCCTGGTTTTGTTTTAGGTATTGTTG